AGAAACATTTAAATTTCGAATCAAGACAATAATAATTATGACGTCAATTCTATTAATTTTATGAACGCACAGTATGTAGGTACTTAGTAACATATACCTACTCTACGTAACTTTTNCTTGCTCGACAGACCGTCGGGGCCGGGCGCCGTGCGCTTCGAGCGCATCTTCGCCACCACCGCCTTGAATTCCGCCTGGGACACACCTTCCAGCTCTCCGCCGTCAGCGACCTGCACCGTTGCCATTACAGGAGGGACGAAAGCCGTTCCGGATGAGTCCGGAAATAGACCCCCGACCACCCGGTGCAAAGTCTCGGGCGGCAGTACAAAATACCCTACGACGCAGTGCAGCCCCACACCCGGTTCTCTCTTCGAAGCTACTAAGCAGGCGCATCAAGATTCGGATATACCTACAAGATTGTAGTCAGACCGATCTTATTGTATGGATGCGAAGCATGGACGCTTACACAGAAAGAAGAGGCAAAACTCCTCGTGACGGAGCGAAAGGTATTGAGAACAATACTAGGACCAGTTCAGAAAGAAGACGGTTCTTGGCACGTCCGGAAAAATAAGGATGTGGAGAAGCTTTTTGGTGAGCCAAATATTCTGGGGGAGATGGAGGCACGAAGGCTCGGATGGCTCGGGCATGTAGTACGTATGGATCAGGATTGGGCTGTGAAACGGGTGTATGCGGGTGTACCGGAGGGACGCCGCCCCGTAGAGAGGCCCAAGTACCGCTGGTCTGACGCTGTGGAAGGAAATTTACGTGAGCTCCAAGTGTCGGACTGGCAAGGTGTTGCGCAGCGCCGGGATGAATGGCAAAGCTTATTGTCGGAGGCCAAGACCCACTTCGGGGTCATAGCGCCAGCTCAGTACTGTAGTAGTATATAATCTGAATCTCGGAAACGGCTCCAACGATTTTCATAAAATTTAGTATACAGGGGATTTAGGGGGCGATAAACCGATCTAGCTACAATTTATTTTCAGAAAATGTTGTTTCATTCGTGTTTTCAATAATCAACTTTATCGATATTTTTGATTTTTTCTTTAAATAACCATTTCATATTTTTTATTATCCTGTCGGTAAGATCGAAAGATATTATTAATATTTCATCATTTTATCAATATGCAATTCGTATTTAAATATAATTTCTAAAAAACTGTTTCTAACTGTTTCTAAAAAATTTGACTGGTGGTAGGACCACTTGTGAGTCCGCACGGGTAGGTACCACCGCCCCGCCTATTTCTGCCGTGAAGCAGTAATGCGTTTCGGTTTGAAGGGTGGGGCAGCCGTTGCAACTATACTGAGACCTTAGAACTATATCTCAAGGTGTGTGGCGCATTTACGTTGTAGATGTCTATGGGCTCCAGTAACCACTTAACACCAGGTGGGCTGTGAGCTCGTCCACCCATCTAAGCAATAAAAAAAAATAAAAACACAATTTATCAAAAAAAAAACCGAGCAAAGTTTGGTCATTATCTAATTAAGAATAATGCAGACCCGCCATGATGGGTATCCCAATCCTACCTATGTATTTATGTCGCTAAGCAATCATCTGAATCTGAAGTCGTCGTGGCCTAACGGATAAGACGTCCGATGCATTCGCGTTGAGCGATGAGCTCGTCCACCCATCTAAGTAATAAATAAATAAAAAATCATGCGTTCATTTTTTAAGAGTAAGGCCTCAACAAGGCTTCTGTTTCTTCATTTAAAGTGGGCGGCATTGCTATCCATGGGCTCTGGTAGGCCTTCATTTCATATAAATTCGGCTATTGAATTTTTATGTTAATATGTGATTATTAAAGGCGGTCTGCTATTAACTAAAATATTACGAAGTGCATTTTTTCTAAACCTGGGCTGAACCTTCTACGAGGTCCGTCCGCCTAGGGGCTATGGTATCTGAGACTGTGGTCGAATACAGTAATGAAAAGATTCGTTTTTTTATTATTATTGCATAGATGTTTGAACGAGGTCACAGTCCACCTGGAGTTAAGTGGTTACCGGATCCCATAGACATCTAAAGCGTAAATACCGCCACCCACCTTGAGATATGACTTCTAAGGTCTCAGTATAGTTACAACGGCCGCCCCATCCTTCAAACCGAAACGCATTACTGCATCACGGCAGAAATAGGCAGGGTGGTGGTACCTACCCGTGCGGACTCACAAAAGGTCCTACCATCAGTAATTACGCAAATTATAATTTTGCAGGTTTTGATTTCCCCTCCCCTCTACCTCATCCGGGTTCTGACCTCGGAGGGGATCGGACGTCGGGTGTAAGAGTGCAGGGGAGTCGTTTAGTGGGTGGGCCCTAAAATCCTTGGGCCCGCGGTCTGCTCACAACACCATGCCGATCGTAGAGTCTCACATACCCGGCGCGCCCCTTTTGCGCGGGGACCTCGTAGGAGGTTCGGCCCTCTACCCGAAAAAAAAAAANATTTGTCACCTGCTCCTGGCCATTCATTACCGGCAACAGGGAAATTGCAGTCTTAATATCAAATGAGTCTGACATTTTTGTAGCACAATTAGAATATTCTATCATTCTGACATAATTTCCTTAAACTAAATATAAAGAAATTCCGCATGAACTAAATAATAACAACATATACTCGTAATAGAGACCATTAAAATAACGAAAAAAAAAAAATTACAATATCAAAGCATAAACTTACATTGCAGTAAGCACGTATTTACTGTCAACGTATATGTAGGTCATGACGTCTTACGTAGCATGGGTGACTGAACTCCTCAGCATTGGACTCGAGCTGACTCCTATCATAAGGCTTGAGCATTCTCCCGGCTCCCGGCAGCAACACCCTTTTTGTCTTCTTCCATTGTTCTCATCGCTTCGTCCAAATCAATCTTATGTGAGGGTTTTTTTTCTTCTTTTTTTCATTTTTTGTAATTTAAAAATCTTCTTTCCTCTTATTCCTCGTTTTCACGAACTTCTATTCTTCATAATATTCTTCATAATTATATTTCTTCATATTTTATTCAGCTACTCTCGTATTTTACGTATATTGCAAAATTTTAACTGCTGGCTAAGGGTCGCCATGTATTGGAGTGTTGTAGGTGAAATAAAAGAGAACTGTTCAAGTCGACAATTCATGTAATACTGTTATATTTTAGTGTGTGCAGTTACAAATATAAGGTTAGGCGAGCTGCACACTACACGTGCGTGAGCGAACACCACATTCGCGTAAGTCATGACGGGCCTTATGCAAGTTTTGTAAAGCGTCACCTTGTTCCGAAGGGATATTTTTCTCCGCTTACAGATCATGGGATAGCCTGCCGAGAATAAATGCGACACGGTCGCGGACTGTTTTTATATGCGGGCGGAATTTCATAGATGCATCCAGAGTGACTCCCAGGTACTTGACCTTCCTGGCCCAGGGTATAGGTTGGCCGAAGAGGGTGAACGGGGGTGTGATATTTCTCCTCCTAATGCGGCAGGAAATAAGCGGTGAGATTTGAATATTGTGCACCTACCGTCTATTTTTTCTATATTTCTAGACTTTTACGTTTCATTTCACACAGAAAGACCTTACAGTATCTCTTGAAGTCTAGCAGTTTGTATGACTGTATAGTATTCGAAACTTTGGAAATAAAAATCGCGAGATTACACCCCATATGTTGATTTTGATTAGTTCTGTTCTTTGAAGACTACATCACAAAAATAAGAGGTGCTCAGTGTGAAACTCCTCCCAGTCCTAGCTTAGCTCCGAATACCACATTATCTATCTATATATATAAAAATGAATTGCTGCTCGTTAGTCTCGCCAAAACTAGAGAACTGCTGGACCGATTTCGCTAATTTTGGTCTTGAATTATTTGTGGAAGTCCAGAGAAGGTTTAAAAGGAACATAATCATGAAAATGCTCGGAATTAAATAAAAATAACAAATTTGTTTTCCTTTTGAAGTGTTCCCCGTCGGACGGATTCCTTTTGTTTGTTTTAAGTTTATTTTATACAAAAGCTTAGATCTTTTTGACGTGACAGCGTCTTATAGTTCGATGGAACCGGCTGCAGGCACGAAAAAACATGACTCATGCGGCGTTACCTCGCTCTGAGGCGTTCCATTTATTTAACAATCGGTTGAGGCACTACGAAGTCTGCCAGGACAACTAGTCAGAAATGAATATAGGCGAAAGTATCTGTTTCAATAAAGCCAACCATGACGACATTTAAGTAGAAACAAAAATCAAATAAATTTGATAAAAATACTGTTTTTCTGTAATCAACTATCATATTCCTCGAAATGATATTTTAATCAAAGAAACTTAAGAAAATGTTCAATGCCCAATGTTCGCGCATCTCACCGTCCTCGGTAAATGAATCAAACTTGTTTTTTACACCCATCATTTATAACCATACGCATGGTTTTCATTATGTCTAATAACTCAGTACTTAACTAGTTTATTAAAAAGGTTCCACCTTTGTGAAAGTTGAATACCGAACACAAACGAAGGCGGTACAATTGCCAAATTAGAAAAATAATGGGTCATGTAAATGCATACTCGTGAGGGGAGTAAGGACAGCAAGCACATGTTGTTTTTTTTTACTAAAAATGAAACAAGCTATTTTATATTTTACTACACATATCGGATTTAATCCATAAATTTAACATTTTTTTAAATACAACTTAAGCTTTTAAACATATTTCTTTTTTACGTCTATATAAAAAAGAATCTTTAAACAAAAAAAAAAGCTTTCCATTGCAAACTTTACTTGAAACTTAATTCATTTTAAGCTAAATGCGCCTTAACGTACAAACAAAACATCGTCTTCGTCTACATAAATTCTATCTCGTACTTAACTGATTCAGTTTTGACGACATAAAAACAATACATAAAGGATAAGTGTTCGCAATAGTATTTTTTTTTTCGTTGCTAATAATTACTTGTTTGCGTTTACTTGTACAGAGCCCCGAATATCTTTAGCTAGGTTTACTATAGGATACGTTTACTGTATTCCGTGAATGCATGTGCAATTTACCTCTTCTCAATCACACTCTTCTTCCTGAGTTCCTTCTGCCCCCCATCTCTAACTTTACGAGGAGTAAAGCGTATTTTAACTATTCTTATTAGAAAAGTAGTAGATATTAATATCCTACCTATTACTGCCGCAAAACATCCATCAGTTCACGTCTGAACGGTAATATATTATATCTATATGACAATCCTATTGACATTTCGACTTCATAACTAATATAAAAATAAGAAAAAGGATGCCGGCATTTACTTTACGATGTCTATAGTCTTCCAGTAATCAACACATACAAACAATCTACATATCATATAATACGTTGGTTTATTAGTTAAGCACAAAAACAAAAAGTTTTGAAGAAATACAAATTTTACGAACCTGCTCATTAATTGAAGAGAACATAAAAATCAAAAACAAAATCATTTGTGTTTGTGTTTTAAATAGGTACCTACGCAACGACTGAAAAATAATGATTCATTAGAAACATTTAAATTTCGAATCAAAGCAATAATAATTATGACCGCAATTCTATTAATTTTATGAACGCACAGTACGTAGGTATTCAGTAACACATTACACCTACTCTACGTAACTTTTAGCCACAATGATTAGTCAGAATACAAAACGCCATGTAGGCTGCCACGAACAATCGTAAACGTACAAAAATTAAGATGATTAACCGATGTAGCTCCCGATATACGCGCTGCAGTTCGGACAGTAGTGTGTGGCGTTTCGGCAGCTTGTGCCGCAGTAAGGAATGCAAGCACAGGGCCAGCAACTGAAAAAAAAGAAATAAAAAAATCTCAATTACTTCATAAGTCGACCTTCCTGTTAGCAGAAGGAACGGGTCTCCGCTTCCTTAAGCCACTTCTGCTACTTCCCTGTATATATTGTTACGCCGGTAAGAGTAATGCCATCTATCGCCGAATAGTCGAACGAATATCAAAGGATCTAGTAGTACCTAGAACGCTCGAGAAGTACAACGGCATATATTGTCAGATAGCGGAAAAACAATATTATGCTCGAAATGTGTGGAATATTCTCGATAATTCTAGGGATGTGGTATCGGCTATAAAAGTGTTGCAGAGATGGTACGCAGTCAGTTAGTAATCGGAACTACTCGAAGCGAAACAGCGAACGGATCACCTGAAGCGAAGCGGAAGAAGCGAATTGAGAATATTAAAGTGTTTGCGAAGTATTTTAAGCATTCTAAATGTTGAATACAGTTTTTAGTTGTACTTTGTTGGAACTTTTTATTTATCCCGAACCCCAGCGCGTAACAATATCATACATATAATAAGCCACATCCTGGGACTTCCCTATAATAGATATATAAAATAATAAGAAGATAGATCCTAATGAGAAGAAACGTTGAATGTGAAACACCCAACGATCTTAAGCTAGAATTTTCTCCAATAAAATAGACAAAATTTAAATTATCTCCGACTTTTAATAGAATCCGCATCTAGTTTTACAACAGCAACCTGACCACTATTTTCCTACACAACTCCCTAATGCCCAATTCCGCATAGGCGGGTGCATCCATCTTCAGTATTTCACCCGCGAAGCAATCAGGCGTTACGATTTGAACGTCCAATTGTAAAGCAGACTACAATCTTATGTCTCGTTGTGGATAATGACGTTAATGCTGCATAAATGCTAATGTGAGCAGTGAGATCATCTGCCCAACTTAATTTCAGTCATAAGTTTGTATGCAATTGTACGTAATTCAGACATTCAATGTTACTTACTACATAATCTCTCGAACTCTTTAAATTGTAGATGTATGTATGGAGCAGAAATATTTATTACTTCAGAAAAATGTACGTGTATGAACTAATTCCTATTTCCGTTTGCTTCTGATTAAGAAATTGTAAATTTTAATTTAAAAAAAAACTTAGACGTTTTTCTAATATTTAAGTTCACTGCATTTCAAACTTGATACTTTTTAGATCAGTTTTCTTTTTCTTTTTTATTAATATAAAATCCACAGATTATCATGCCTTAAATATTTTTTTGCAAAGTTTTTCTTCATAATAAAGCAATACCTATCTCAAATATTCTATTGTAATTTAAAAAAAAACATACCATAGACAGCAAAGGAGTAAAGCACACAGGTGGGTTTTCGTCGCCGATACATATTCTACTCTGGTCGTGATGGAGGCTTTGCAGCTTGGGCAGGTATAGCGTGCAGGCTTAGGGCCCATTTGCGGCGCTTGAACTGTGATGAACTGTTGAGTCGGCACAGTGGGAACGACATGATATAAATCTGTTTGCATCTGGTTATTGTATGGCGGCGGATTTTGAGTAGTTTCTGCTATGTCTACGCCAGACAAATCGGCTTGATCTGAAATATAGCTTTTTAATTTGAGAATTATGTTAACCGTTGGACTGATCTAAAATTATCTACAAAATCGTTCAGAACAAAATCTTTTTTTTTTTTCAATTCGTCGTCGTGGCCTAAAGGATAAGACGCCCGGTGCATTCGTATCTAGCGAAGCAACGGTGTTCGAATCCCGCTGGCAGACATCAATTTTGAATACGCATTTATTAGCTTCAGGCGTATGAATGTTATGGTATGTAACGGAATCTTTGAATATGATTTTGACCCCCTTCAAAACGTCGGATTAACTCGAAATATGGTATACTTATTAAGGACCGATGACGATTCAATCTTAAAAAAATATTGAAAAAATTTAAATTCAACTAAAAAATGAAAAATAAATAATAGTTTAAAAAAACAAAAAAAAAAACGCTTTTATAGAAAATCCAACTAAAAAATAGAAAATAAATTTTAATAAGTTTGAATTAAAAATAGTGTAGGTAAGCTCGTCCAATCATCGAAGCAATAAAAAAGGCATTTTTTAAACAAAATTTTTTGGTTCGACAGTTTTTTATATAAGAATTTTACGGCATACCCATCAACGAGCTCACAGCACATAATAATATGATTTTATGTTACCGAATCCCATAGACACAACAATGCCACCCAACTTGAAACACTAAAATGAAGTCTCGATTTCCTAACGGCTGCTTCTCGGAAGAATTAGGTCATTATAAATAATATATCAGTACATACCCGTTTGGGCTCAGACTTTTAGTACCTCCGTTGCATTTACGAAGTATTAGTAATACTGATAAACATAAATAAGTACGTAATAAATAAAAAACTCACGCTGCACCAGAGGCATTTTCATTTTATTCTACCACACTGTTTTACCGAACACTATCTATATGTAACCACGTCCGTCTCAGACGATTCACTGTATGTGAATGCGTAAACAATTAACCATTGTTTAAGAAATACGCAGAACAGACATGTATTTCAAAAACAAAAAAAAAATTATTTTTCAATAGCTTATACATAAACCAAAGACACCTAATAAAATACTAACGGACCACAAATGTCAATTGAAGTTAATATCGTGAAATTAGTTTGACAGCTTCATAAAAGAGTATAATATAGTTTTCTAGGTTTCTGTTTCCGATTCTATTTTGGAACTAGGTAAATCTTACTTACTTACCTTAGGAATCCTTGAATGCTCTGAACATTAATATCGTAGGACCATTTTTTCGAATTGATCCCAAGCAGAATTTGTTCAGACCTATTAGAAGTGTAAGATAGAATTGTTTTGTCAATAAAGAGTCGGAGGGTGGCTTAAAGTGAAGCGCAAAAGTTTGAGGAGTCGTTCGCATATACAGGTTTGACCAAATTCGTACCAGTAATACTGTCGCAATACATATGTTGCAATACGCGCCGTCCAAGATAAAGCAGCAATGACTGAATTTAAAAATAAAACCCCATATATTTTTAAAAAATCGTTTGATACTACAATTAATTGCCAGCTGTACATAAATTACGAAAACAGCTAAAAACATCATTGACATGGACGGAATGAACATTACAATCGATCATTATTAATGTACACGCTTCCGATATGAATTTTTTTATTTAAAACTAGCTGACCCGGCAGACTTCGTAGTGCCTCAATCTTTAAATAAAAGACCTAAACTTTTGTATAAAATAGACTTAAAACAAACAAAAGGAATTCGTCCGACGGGAGGACACATCAAAGGAAAAACAAAGTTGTCATTTTTATTTAATTCCGAGCATTTTCATATTTATCTACCTTCTCTGGACATCCATAAATAATTTCAGACCAAAATTAGCCAAATCGGTCCAGCCGTTCTCGAATTTTAGCGAGACTAACGAACAGTAATTCATTTTTATATATATAGATAGATATGATCCCCGTGGTCGCTTGAAAACGGAAGTCAATAACGACGATTTAAAGACGGTAGTGGAAGCTGTCGATACTCAATCTACCGCTAAGTTAAAAAAAGCTCTCAACGTCAGCATCAAATCAATACAGATCCATTTGCGTCAAATTAAAGGCAAGGTAAGAACATCTGATGCAACACATTGATGTACGCCTCAACTTGCTTAACAGGCATAATAACGAAGGGATTTTTAACAACAGTGTCACTTGTGCTGAAAAATGGATTATTTTTGATAAAATTGTAAGTGGTAGTTGTGTTGGTTAGGCCCTGCTTCAGCACCCGGGCAATGGCCCAAATGAAAGTCACCGTGCTCTTCTTCTTTTCTTCGTCGCTTTCTTCATTACTAAAGGTGGTGTTCCTGAAACTTGACCGTGGCCTGTCTCGTGAGCAGTTTCCATCTCGTCCGGTCCTCAGATTCTCGAATGCCTGTTTGCAACTGGCAGCCCAGTTAGGGTGGTTATTTGATCACACCATGGGCTAGATGATCGGCCGCGGGGTCTGTTTCCTTCTACTTTGCCCGTCAAAATCACAATCACATCGTGTCTTAAAGGATAAAAAACATAGTGCATTCGTAGCGAGTGATACGACCATATATATATATATATGCTTATATCCCGCAGACAGGTACCAATTATTCAATTATTAAATACGTATTTATCTCATGTTCAAAACATAGGAATCATTTAATAAAAATCGAACCCAAAAAAATTGTAATTTAGATGATTAGTATAACACATAAATGATACATAGACTGAAATTTTGCAACTCTTTTATCTTAATAAAATGAATATTTTTTAATAAAACATTAGGTACATAAATTTATAGCATTCGCGTCAGTGATGCCTTTGACCGGATTTTGATTGTAGTTTCCTTTCAGTGATTCATACTTCGGTCACATTTGAAATAGTATATTATTTGTGTTTATTACGCATGGCTAATTGGACGAAATCATACGATAATGTTACTGGCGAAGGCAACTGAGAAGTTACATAATTTTTTAATTGTTTCATCTAGTTTTAAGGACCAAATAGGGATGAAAATACTAATACATGTTATACAACAAGCAATTTTTTTTACTGATCTAGATCAGTGAAAAATGCTTATGTCCCGTGTCATTTACTTTAGCAGATATAACCGGCGCTGCACGTTGACTTTCCCAATTAAGCCTATATTTTAATCCTTGTCATAAGCTGTTTTTATGCAAATTTTGATGGAAAAAGTATCTCTTCTATATTAAAGAGCAAAAGCATAATCAAAGTATATATAAAAAAATATTGATGAACAATTTCCAATCAATAGAATACAAAAAAAAATAGTTTTTACAATTCGTAATTAATATTTCAATTCGTATTATCTACGGCTATCTAATCTAATATAATCTAATCTATCAGTCTTTGTATGATATGACCACCGCTTTATTTAATATTGGCATATTTTCTTTGCTATTGTCAGGGGTTGATAAATGGATTGAGTTTTTAATGTGTGATGACATAGTTATAAATTCGTTTGATAAAATATTTAGTTCAATTCCTCTTTTCAATGACGTAGACGGAAAAAGAAACAACCGGGGCACTTAAAATTAAGTGGTTAGTAAAGCCCATACCAATATGTGCTTAGTCGCTTGTCTCATGAGATATGAGGTCGAAATTTCTAGATCTAGAACAAGACCTTCTTCCGTAGGTGTCCTAAAGGAGATAAAGAAATCCAACGGAGAATGGGTAGCAATACTCTCTGAATAATTCATCACCACACTGCGATTATCAAATAGAATTTACTGATAGTAAGGTGTCTGGTGAGCTCCCACTGTTGGGTAGCACCACACTGCCTGTTTCTGGCACTGCTGTTCCGGTATGAAGGATGGGTTAACCATTACAGAATACAGTTGAGACTATTGCTTTATATAGCAAGGCGAGTGGTGGCATACACACTGTAATGTAACTCTCAAGTTGAGCTGTGAGCTCACCTACCCGTCCGGAATAGCCCCCAAAGCGGAACACCCCCCTACGTAGCTGGAATAGCCATAGAATAGGAAAAAGCGATAAAATGTCTGTCAGAGTCCAGCTTATCTTAGGCCAGCACCAACAAAGATAAATAAAAAACAAAGATTTAAATCTTCAAAAATATAATTTAGTATAAAAACGCCGACAATATTGAACCGAACGCAGTATTGTCGATTCGAATACTTTTTCTTGAAACATGAACCTTTATCTAAATCGAATTATACAAAATCTGATAAAATATGTGTTTTAGATTACAAAAAAGTGTTTTTTTTTTACAAATATCTGTGCTTCGAAACATCGCATTCCATGAGACTGATATTTCGTTAGCCATATGTATCTCATGATGCAAAAAAACTCATAATTTTTCATTAGTTTACGTAAATCTCTTATAATGAATAACTTATATTCAGATTATCAAACACTGGCCATGGTGATTAAGATATAAACTGAGCTATATATTTATTGACCTCTATGTGAATATGGGCGCAAAAGCCACTATTTACAATAATTAACATGATTTATAGTTTAGTTTATTCTATTTACTTATTATTAGTAAGATGAAACTGCTATTCTACCATTTGTTTTGATGTGAAAATGTACAGAATATCTTTAATGTTTATTTTATTGCTTAAAAACACAAATTATTGTTAAAATAATCAAATATTAATAAAGCATAAATATTAACAATAAATTATGTTATAATTAACTTGATTATTAATAATTTGATTAAGTATCACAATTGTTATACAAATCACGTTGTTGGCGCCATCTATTATTAGGCTGGATAATAATAATGTTAGTTTATATTAGATAAAAATAATTTATGTAAAATAAATTAATGACAGAGTCATGTAAAAATCACTAAAATATTTATTGTGAATTTTAAGCTATATTTTATGAATTGTTTCACAGTAATTCCATTTTTTTATAGAAAAGAAGTTATAGTTGCTATAACCATCACAAAATGGCTAATTTTGTAAAAACTAAAATGTGGCTTTTTGTAATAAACAAATAATGTTAACGTTTTATAGAATTGTATTGTATTTTCATTATAATAGATCTTATGTGTGAAAATCCTGGCGTAACTCCGACATGTCCTATAGGAAAGTGTCATTCTAGTCGTTTACCGGACTATATAAAACGCATATAATAAATGAAAATGAAACATACAAAAAACCTATTAAAAATCGATATATTTTTAGTTTCACAGTGTAAATTTTCTCGCTTCCCAAGAATGAAATTAACAACTATTTTTGTACTATGTTCAATTCATAGCTCAAAATAGTATATGATTTATTCGCGAAACACTATAAACATTATTAAGAGAAAATTCGGGTGCCGAGAAAATTGTAATGTAGATTTTTCAAAATTCCATTGATTTTTGTTACCGTAGGCTGCCCCAAAAAAAAAACACCAAATTGACAACTCAAGTTACAGTGAAAATAACGTTGTAAAAAGTCGAATTCGTCATTCCATATTCTCTTGTTTCTTTCTCTAAGAGCTAGAAATGTTTTTATTTTTTTGTTATTTTATATAAAATGGTTACGAATTATGGAAGCTACATAAATAAAGCTTTGTTAGTTAATATATAAAAACTAAGAGCATGGCGACAATACCGTTTTAGTGTGGACCCTATGATCGAAGCCATAGTATATGGTTTGGATTTATGATCCCACGAAGACACAGGCATATATTTATGTATGAACTAAACACAGTTCGCATTTTTACTATTTTGTTGAGAGCATTAACTGCTGTAGTTTCCGATGTACGCGCTGCAGTTCGGGCAATAATGCTCAGCATTTTGACAGCTATTCGTGCAGTAAGGAATGCAAACGCATGGCCAACAACTGAAAAAAATTAATAATAAATTTATAACTAATATATAATTAATATTTTTAACGGATAAATTAAGATTTTTATTTAAGCTTTTTGTTTGGCGAAACTAAATGTGCCTAGATTACGTAGTCGATAGCTCAATTCTAGAGTATTTTACTATTTAAAAAACAAAACAGTTAGTTTCAAGTTTGACATGTCATATGACAATGAAATTCTAAAACAAAAAAGCTGTTTTTTTTTATTGCTTAGATAGCCACCTGGTGTTAAGCGGTTACTGGAGCCCATTGACATCTACAACGTAAATGCGCCACCCACTTTGAGATATAAGTTCTAAGGTCTCAAGTATAGTTACAACGGCTACCCCCCACCCTTCAAGCCGAAACGCATCACTGCTTCACGGCAGAAATAGGCAGGGTGGTAGTACCTTCCCGCGCGGACTCCACAAGAGGTTCTATGTATGTATGTAGGTATGTATGTATTGTTTCTTTGTATTTTAAGAATATTTTTTAATTATTTCTATTAATTGAAAAAATCGCTTACCCTATTAAGCAAAGAAGAGCAGCAAACAGATGTGTCTTTGTCGTGGAAACACGTTCTACTCTAGTGACGATGGCCGTATTACAAGACGGACATGTATAATGTGAAGGATCAGGTCCCATTTGCCTTACTACTGGTACGACTGCCACGACCTGTTGAGGAGGTACGGCAGGATATGCAGGATATATTCCTGGTTGTGGTTGGGTGACGTACGGTGGCGGGTTCTGATGCGGCGGTACGAAGTGTGTGCCAGACAAATCTGCTTTATCTAAAAAAATTGTAAAATTAGTACCTTGGGTGAGCGGTAAGCCTTCAAATCTGTTAAAGACGAGAGCGCCTAGCACAGACGTCATTGATTTCATTGATTAATTTTATTATTACAAAACTGTCTTTAGAATATAGCACAGTTGTCTCATAGCGTAGATTCATAGTAAACAATCAACAAAACCTCAATAGCTGTCACACTCCTAGATCAGATAAAAAAAATATGAATCCTTAGAAATCAAAACTATACAACTGATATAATCATTTAAACAATTTTATGGAAATAATATTACGCAATAATACGTGATTTTACATGTGGTCTTATAAAAGGTTCTTATTTTCCTGCTTTGCGTATCTTTAACAATATATAAATCTACAGTGGTTTTCACGGATGTTCCGTTATAACTACTGAACCATGCATCCGATTGACTTGAAACTTGGTATCCATGTAGAAAATACATGCACTTAATGGACGGACTAATATTTATAGGAGTGTTGGACTCCCTAATGATAATGACAATAAATAATGATGTTAATTTTAAATGTACAGCGAAGCGGGCGATTACGGTTAGTTTAAAATAAAAAATAGCTCAGCAGCGACAACATATTTTACGATAAATCGATCGAAATTGCTATTTTAGTCAGTCTAATTAAATTCTCGAGCTTTTACGTGTTCATAACTCGTTACTCTGATAACGTTAAGAGATAGGGCAATTCAGCGAACTCAGTATCAATACGCGGCTACGTACATATGTACGTGGCTGTGTGTTTCTATACGCATTTAGCACTAAATCAACCATATCGTGTAAAGTTTTTTATACTATAATAAAATTATAAAGAGGAAATATTTGTTTGTATTAAATAGGCTCCGAAACTACTGAACAGATTTAAAAAATTCTTGCACTGTTTGGAAACTACACTATTCCCGAGTGAGGATTCCCTTTCTTGAAAAAAATTAGGGATCCTTACTAAAACTCCAATAATGTAACCCAAGGTGTAAAAAAATTACCTAAAGTATTCTTTACATCGTGTGCCCTGCGATAACCATTGATGATAGAATAAAATAATGTACTACGACTTTGTAGAACACATTATTATTTTCAAAAAGTGTCGCGACAACATATGTCTAGCTATTATAGTTATGTGTTCTTGTGACCCGAGCGGAGCCGGAGCAGGCCGCTAGTTATCTATAAATTTAGACAGAAAATTTGAACTGTTTTAGTACCGATCACAAAGTAACCAATGGGCTGACAATAAAACAAACAGCCTTGGCATAATAATTTATCATAGTTATAGCTAGTTTAATCTTGCCCTTGTTAGTTGTTCGTGACCACGAAAAGTGAATAGCACACGAAACGTTGAAAATAATAAAAAGAGAACCAACAAAACTAGATTAAATAAACTGAAAGCAGTTTTAATTGTGACTACCATTCGCGGTGACCGAAGAAAATACTAAATAATGTCACATTTAACATATTTTATAATTCTTGTTAAGCTATTGCATAGCTTTTATCGCGGACCTTGGGCGCGGCGACTGAATCATGAAATTCCGTAACGAAAAAAACCTTACACTCCTCACTCCGCCTACCATGTAGCTCGCGTTTAACACATTCACACGTTGCGCTTGTGTAGTGTTTGTGAATAAGCGCGTGGCGTGACGTCACACTGCATGCGCATCATGAAAAGTCTGCCCATCTCTCTTTCGCGCGGTCTAGCTTATGAGTGTGAAGGGGACAGTTAAGGTTTTGCTTTTGTTAATGTTTAATATAGCGTGGTCTTATTTTATTATTGTTTTAATATTAAATTATCATTGTCTAATTATAATTGCATAAGTTGATAAAAAATGCTATGCAATAGCTTTACCGCGGCAGTTCCCGAGTGCCACACGTTTTTTTTTCTTCATTGGAAGTGGTAACCGGAACCCATTGCCAACTTAAATACCGCCACCCACCTTGAGATATGAGTTCTAAGGTCTCAGTATAGTTACAACGATTGCCCCACCTTTCAAACCGAAATGCATTACTGCTGACAGAAACAGGCAGGGTGGCGGTACCTACGCGTGCGGACTCCTATGAGGTCCTAGCACCAGTAAGACCGGCCAAATCAATGAGTGTACCAGGCTCACCACAAACCGGTAGAAGTGGTGATTACTCGGGGGGCGAATAACATTTTCCCACACCAATGATACTCAATGACGACCACAACCGCTCTGACAAGAGTGATACTACATTGAAAAATACACAACCATAATGAATATTACAACAAGCATATTACATATATTCTTTTAAAAAACTACACATAATTGGAATATCTTATTGGCAGTTTCATAATTCGTGAAGTCGCGTAGGAAGGAGCGTATTATTAATTTCGTACTTCAGCCGGTTTTCATTAGAACAATTGAAAAGAATTAAACATGATTTTTAGTACTATCGTGGTAAGAAATTTTACCACTGTTACTACCACCATTACCATCCTACCACGGATTTTTGTTTCCATGAACCGCTTCGATAAACCTTGAGGATTACATGTTGCGCTTCTATAGATATGCATCGAACACAAATTTACAACAGTACGATTGAGAAAAGTCTACTCACATTCAACATTGGCCATTTTAGTTTAGTTAGACACAAATCACGAACTAAATTCCCAGTTATACGATTATACGAACACCACAATCGACTGTCTGTTCAAATGATCTACTGCAAAGAAAATATATCGGCTGAATATAACGATAATTTTTTATCTGATAACAAATTATCTAGTTACGCTCTGTTCCGGTATGTTTGTTTGTTTGTTTGTTAATATAGTGCGCTGTAGTCATCACGATGATTTTTTTGCTATTTGCTCTTTTTACTTAGTGTCAAACGTAGTTCAAGTCCACACAAATTTGAGTTAACTTTTACGTGATCGAGAAGTTAAAAAAATCGCACTAAGCACGCTGTACCCTTAGATGTTTGCTACTTCTCAGCTATACATGAGCTCCAGTAACCACTTACCAGGTGGGCTGTGAGCTCGTCCACCCAACTAAGTAATAAAAATAAAATAATCATAAATTAAAGTGTGAATATTGTGATACATAAGTAAATTGTCTTTTAACTATTAAATTACGCATAGAGCTTTGAATTTTTGTACATCTTAAAGTCTATTACGAGAGCTTGAGATTATATTGGCTTACAAAAGCATAGTTAATAGTAATAATAATATCTCCTGATAATAATAATAAAAACGAAAATAAAGTCGCGAGCTAAACATATATCCCAGATAAAATATCTAGATAACTTTTTCGATGTTGATAGGACAAATTGTAATTGTGACGCACGTCTGGTTTATATATACATGGGGAATTTCAAAGCAAGAAAACAATTAAGTGGAATACCCGGAATATATGAACAGATTTAGAGTCAGGCCCAAGCATTCTAAGCCTAACGAGTAAATCATGTCTGTGTATGTGTATATAATTATCGAAGTATGGTATCTTCTCTTATGTTCTCCTTAAATATAATAATAATAATGTAATAGTAATAATCGTGATAAAAATTAATGGCAAATTTACTTGGATAGCAACTGGCAGTAATTACAACAATTTGAACGATAACTTGGACCTAAAAATAGGCAAGATGGTACAGTATTACTGTGGTCTCGTAATGCCCTACCACTACTAGCCAATTATAAGGTTAGAAAAAGATGCTACTATAGACGGATAATGAACTATAACACGATCTGAAGACCACACACACAAATGACACATACAACTCTTTTTTTTTTTCTAGACGAAGTACATTGACGTCACAGCGTACATGCCACCTCTCAGCGTTAGACATGATGATGATTTGACCAAAGACAATGTGCAAACGGCTGTTCCCGTCAAACATACTACTACTTCGGCATGAACCCTAATTTGTAATATAATTGCAAAATTATATTGCGCAATTATATTATAATTGCGCAAAATATTGAGACCTAATAAACGTAATCAAAAACGTTCTCGGCGCATCTATATATTAATACGTGAAGCAAAAACATTGTATCCCTTTTTACGTAAATTGCGCGGACGGAGGAGTATGAAATTTTCCACACTTATAGAGAATATGGAGAAGAAGTGCACAATGCTAATATTTTTTTAAAACAATGCATTAAATATACATTAAATCAGTAAAGAAAACATTACACACATTAAATACCATCTATTTGACGCACACACGCATGCATACTATTTATTTATTGTCAAAATTTTGTTCTTGATGTCTGTGGTCAAATTGAGAATAGATTAAATATTGTTTGTCTTTATTAATATTTTTTTATAGTGTAGCCTTGACGAAATTTGTGATTATAGAAGTATAAAATACAATCATAATAGTGTACAAACTTACAATTCCAATTAATTATAGTCGAATTTCGACTACTGCGGGACCTATAGTAATATTAAATACACATTGAAATTATTCATATTAGAATTAGACCATGAACTGGCTTTGACCACAACTTCTTAATTTCCGCCCTATGACTCATACTTACGCCACGTATCGAAAACATTTTTATCTCTGGTTTTCAGTGACAATGATAAATATTTTATCGGCGAATGATGTATGCTCGCTGTACACGATTTAAATAAAAGACCAATAGATAATAAGTTCACATGTACTAATTTAAATACTAGGTAATTGAAGCGGTTTTGCGCACATTCCTAATAAATGAAATGTTTCCAATAACTAACCATGTCGCAGTTTTTTTTTTATTGCTTAGATGGTTGGACGAGCTCACAGCCCACCTGGTGTTAAGTGGTTACTGGAGCCCATAGACATCTACAACGTAAATGTGCCACCCACCTTCTCAGTATAGTTACAGCGGCTGCCCCACCCTTAAAACCACACACGCATGCATACTATTTATTGTCAAACTTTTGTTCTTGACGTCTATTGTCAAATTGAGAATAGATTAAATATTGTTTGTCTTTGTTAATCTTTTTTATAGTGTAGTCTTGGCGAAATTTGTGATTATAGAAGTATAAAATACAATCATAATAGTGTACAAACTTACAATTCCAATTAATTATAGTCGAATTTCGACTACTGCGGGACCTCTAGTTTATATATTAATACGTGAAGCAAAAACTTTGTATCCCTTTTTACGAAAATTGCGCGGACGGAGGAATATGAAATTATCCACACTTATAGAGAATATAGAGAAAAAGTGCGCAATGCTATTTTTTTTTTAAATAATGCATAAAAGATACATTAAATCAATAAAGAAAACATTACACGCACTACATACCATGTATTTGACGCACACACGCATGCATACTATTTATTGTCAAACTTTTGTTCTTGACGTCTGTTGTTAAATTGAGATTAAATATTGTTTGTCTTTGTTAATATTTTTATAGTGTAGTCTTGGCGAAATTTGTGATTATAGAAGTATAAAATACAATCATAATAGTGTACAAACTTACAATTCCAATTAATTATAGTCGAATTTCGACTACTGCGCGGGACCTCTAGTTATTATTTACAGACTAAGTGACTTGGTAGTTCGTAGCATAGGTCTCATTCTAAGTGCAGAAAGACTTAGGGGTACATGGTTGAAAAGTTCCTGGCCAAGTGCCAATTCAGTTTTCATTGTCTGCAGATTTGCAAGGAGGGAAATTGAAAACTAAGCACCTACGCCTACGCGTACAAGAATAACGCTTAAGAAATGTTCCAGAACATGCAATAGATGTTCCAATTATTTCGATATCCGTTTTTGCTATTTGACAACAGATGGCGATGCTCGTACCGACATAACACTATGGTTGAATGGTATGGTAACCATTAGCGCTTCAAGTGAAATTGATGGCGATTTCCTTACTAATATGAGATTTGTTTTTGTATTTTGTCCTAGTCCCTGTAGTGAGTGAGACATTGGAGTACATTATGATCCTAAATGGCCTATTTCTGTCATGTGTTCCGATTTAAAGGACAGCTTCACATTGTGGTCATTGACCTACGATAACTCTTTAACATCAGATAAGCCTTGAAAAAGGTCTACAGCAGTTAAAACAAATGCAAAACTAAGCATCACATTACGATTTAAAATGCTCCACAACAGCATAACAAAAAATTCACTGTATCCTTTGAATACAAAAAACCGTGGAAATAACTTATTTTGTGGTGTCCAGTAAAAGCTCTGTATTTCTTATACAGCCGCACAGAGAGTTCGCAACTTGGCACCGCTATCTCGTAAATATGAATTATTACCCACATATGACTTAAAATTTTTACTTTCCTTGCAGAAACCCTCAACTGTTACCAACCTGGCGTATTTGGGTTCCGTAAAATGTTACCTACATCAGTTTTACATTTCATGCATCGAAATGTATTATTGGCCGTCTACGTTGAAACACCCAACTTGAATTGCATAAGACAACGATTGACTTAACATACAAAGGGGCATGGTTCTTTATTCTCTATATTTCCTATTAGTACACATCTTAAATCATCCATGTAAGGAGTATCATTATACTTTGGAGTGAAGTTATGCCGAAGGTCATAATGTTATTTTTTTTATTTCTCTTCATGCAACTTTTACTTGTAAATATTGTTATAAAGATAAAGAAGCCTTTAATAACGACTTTAATTTATAATTAGGTACATACTATTTTTTTTTAAAGATTAAATGTAAGACCGCTCCAAAGGTGGATAGACGACATAAAGGCCGTTCAGGCTGTACGTGGAAGAGAAATTGCCACGATCGGGACTTATGGCAGGATTTGGGGGAGGCCTATGCGAAAGCAAAAGCCTAACCGATGTCAAATACTTAAATAAATAATAGTTTAAAACACTAACAAAATACGCTTTTATAGAAAACCTAACTAAAAAATAGAAAATAAATTCTAATAAATTTGAATTAAAAATAGTGTAAAAAAAAATGATTTTATTATAAAAGCGTTTTTTTTAAATATTGTTTATTTGTTTTATTTTTTAGTTGAATTTAATTTTTTTCTATTAATTTTTTCCGTTATTTTTTTAATATTGAATAGTCATCGATCCTCAATAAGTATACCTTTCGAGTTAATCTATTGTTTTGAAGGGAGTCAAAATCATATTCAAAGATTCCGTTACAAACATACATACGTCTGAAGCTAATAAAAGCGTATTTAAAACAAAATTGTTAGCGCGATTCAAATTTTTTGCCAATTTTCTTCTGTGCTATATTCATTAATTTCAAATTGATTTACAAACATACGTGCTAGTTGCTGCCCTTGAAAATTCACGACACATATTCTCAAGAGTCTCAAAAATAACCCGACCCACGGAACCCTTGCAAAAGAACGCCATTGTTACGTCCCTTATTCTTTTTGTTTATGTTACAGTAAAACAAGCTAGATCACGGCGCCGGCACCGTCCCGAGCCGGATCGGGCCAGACGTTTCCATTTCCCGAATGTTGCGGGATTTTAAAGTGTCTAAGCAAGTAATTGTTCTGCCAGTTACCGACCGGTAGATTTGTAAGCTTAGTGATCCGTGCTCTGTGAAATCCTGCATTGAAACGGTTTGCAGAATTTCTTGTACCGTTAACAGAACAAAACTTTTTGAATTAAATACATGGGTTATGCTTGTGCCGGGCACGTTTATTTGTAGTAAAGACGACTGCTACGCCACTAGAAATGATTAGGAAAGCCCATAAATGC